AGACGCACGAGCCACCCGAACCCTGATCTGTGGCCCAGACCCGGCGTCTGCACTCGAAGTCCCAGTCGGGATCCGACGGCGCGGCCGAGTCCCGGCGCGTCCTCCGCCCTTGACTCTCGGGGCGCCTAGTGGCCCCCAGTCCGCGCCACGGGCCACCTGCGCTTCTCAGCACCGCGCCCCGGGCTCCCGCAGGTAGGGCAGCACTGCGTCGGGGCCAGGGGGCTGGCCTGCTCCTGGACCGCTGAATAGGGACAGCAGAAGGCCACCGCCCTCCAGGGGACAAAGCGACCGCGCCCCCAGCGGTCCAACCCCTCTCTGTCAGGTGACCTAGATAACTAGAGGAAGACTTCGCCTCAGGTGTCTCAAGGCTCTGTTCTCTCATCCCTCCCAACTGTCCTCCGTCGCCATTCCGCTCCCACCTGTCCTTAGGGTCCAATGCCAGGGGGACCCCTGCCAAGTAGACCGCTTCTCTCGGAATCTCCCTCCCGCCTGCTCCACTTCAAGTTCTCCCTCCCGGAAAGGGGAGGAGGCCAGACCCTCACCCGAGAAGACTCTTCAGCCCGGCCCGCTCCTCCCGGATTGCCGCCCCCCTGGGACAAACCCCTCCCCCACTCGCTGAGCTGTCGTTCTGGTCCCCTGCCTCTGCCCCGGGCACTTTCCAGCCCTCCCCGCTCCGTGCTGTCCCCCCTTCTCGGTGTTCCGTGTGTTCTCTCCCAGCCTCTTCTGACTTTATCCTCCTCTTGACTCATACCCTCCCCTCCCCCAGACACCCTGGGAAGAAGTGGGTGTGTCACGATTTCTATTTATGGTCCCCCTGGGAAGGCAGTGCCCTGCTAAGAGTTTTTCTTTTCTCCTTACCGGGAATCAGGTGTCACGTTTGATTCCCGGTGGGAACCTCCTGGGGCTCCCTCTCTCGTCCCCTCCAGCCCTGCATCTCCTGGCGCCCTTTGTCTCCTATCTGCTTCCCTTCCTGTCCCTTTGCTCTCATCTTTGGGCTCTTTGTGTAGCTGCCTTCTTTGTCTCCGCCTTGCTGCATCTTTCCTCCCTTCCCTCGGACACCTTCCTCCCATAGTTCTGAAAAGCCATCAGCTTCAAAGGCACCAATAATTCAGGTGGGGAGGGGTCTGTGAAAGTGGAGGGTGAGCTCCCAGCATGCCCAGTACTGACTCCCATCACCCACTTCCTTGGAGCAATCATTTATATTTTTGAGACTAAAGGAATGCCCCCAAGGAGGTGGGATGAGGGAGGATGCCCCCCTTCCTGGAGTTTGGTTCAGGACTTTCCTGAACTACATTTCCCACAGTGTCCTGGGGGCATGGGATTGCCTCTGCCTCTGCCTGGATACATTATGGAAGTTAGTTTCAGAGTGCCAGGTTACAGGGTGCTGTGCTGGGGGGTGGAAAGAGAAGGGAGCAAGATTTATGGGACCAGCTGGGTGTGGTGGTGCACACCTGTAATCCTAGTGGTTTAGGAGGCTCAGGCAGGAGGATTGTGAGTTCAAGGCCAGTCTCAGCAATTTAGGGAGGCCCTAAGCAAGTCAGCCAGACCCTGTATTAACAGAAAATATTTAAAAAAATATTTTGAACTCACTGGTTAAGTGCCCCTGAGTTTAATTCCCAGTACAAAAAAAAAAAAAAAAAATTATGGGGCCAGCCCACAGTTTGGTTTGTCCTGAAACCCCTGATCTACTTTGCTCTCAGTATTCACCTCAAGGTCTAGAGACCTTGAAACCTTTGTTTATGTCCCCCACAAAGGAACAAGGGTAGAGGAAGGGTCTGGAAAGAAAGAAGAGGGAAGAATTGGAAAGTCTTTCTTGTTCCCTGTGACCTCAGGAGCTCCCCATCCTCACTTCTCACTTTCCCACCCTCACCCAAACCGCCTGATCTGAGATGTAGAACAGTCATTGACAGGAGGCTCTTCCACCCCTGGAGTCTCTCCATTCTGAAAGCAAGAGAGGGAATGGAGCCTAATGTCTTGAATTAGGCAGACGGGTTCCAGGTACAACTTGCTCAAGCTTTTCCCCCTAGTGGACAGTGGAGTATTGCTGGAGTCACCATTGAATCAGCAGCTTGTACTTCCCAAGGATGCAGGAATGACTAGCTCAGGTTGTCTGGAGATGCAAATAGGAGCCAGGAACTAACCTGTGCATATCCAGGACCCGTGTCCCCAGAGCCTGGCACTTAGGTGGTTCCTGGGTGTGTAGGTCTGTGTGTTGGTATAGAGTTGCTGGCAGTGGGTAGGGGAGCAAGTGTTGCTCCCTGCCCCCACAATCCCATCTCTGGTTCTAGATCAGTTTAGACCACTTGGGACCTCTGACTCCTAGTATTTCCTCTCCTCACTCTCTGGATAGGTTTTGTGACCCAGTTATACCAAAAGAGATCTCCCCGGCTGGCACAACATCTTTGTATGTGGTGCTGAGGATCAAACTAGGGCCACACACATGCCAGGCAAGCGCGCTACCGCTTGAGCCATATCCCAGCACCAGGAAAGGAAAGTGTTGAGCCTCCTGGTCAGTAATGGCCCTTGCAGGTGCTCTAAAACCTCTGAACCTGGATTCCCCTTCCCTCTGAATGCTGGCCTGATGTTGTAGAGAGCCTTAAGCACTGAAATCAGATTAGAAAGAACTGGAAAAGAAAGAGGAAGACAGAGATCTCCCTTTTGAAGCTCTGTGGGTATAGCAAGTGTTTACACAGGCTGTATCTATGGCATAGGAGCTTAAAGCCACCTCCCAATTACCCCATAGTTCCCCAACATGTTTTTTTTTTTGTTTGTTTGTTTTATTTTTAGTACTAAAAATTGAACCAAGGGCCCTTTGCCATTAAGGTACATCCCCAGTCCTTTCTATTTTTTAATTTTGAAACAGAGCCTCCATAAGTTGCTGAGAGTCTTGCCAAATAGATGAAGATGGCCTTGAACTTGCCATCCTTCTGCCTCAGCCTCCCAGTTCACTGGGATTACAGGCATGCATGAGCCACCACACTTGGTTGGCTATGCTTTGTTTTAAAAAAAATCCAGCCCAAGCCATCATTATTCCCAACAGAGTAGCTGGTCTGTGTCCCCTGGTAGGTTGGTTAATGGAACTTTAATTTAGGTTATATGAGAGAGTGTTATAATTGGCTGAAAGTGAGAAGATGGAGGATTTGATTGGTTGGTTTGATTTGGAGGAGACAGATCTGGAATCAGGAGTCATCAGGATGTGTGGGCAGGGGGTTTTCTCTTTGGCTCTGTCTCCAGGCAGGGAAAATAGAAGAGAGTGTTGGATCCACAAGGGGTTGACCCAAATGAAGGACTTTGAGGAATGGAAAGGGCAAAGAAATTCCTGGGTAGGAGATGGTGCTAGAGATTTTAAAAAGAGAGAGCAGAGGGGGTGGGGGAGGGGCTCTGCCCTTCTGTCTTTGGAGGGGAAGTGAACAGGCAGAGGGGCCCATGTGATCATGTGAGTGTTTTGTTTGCTGGACCTACACTGCCTATTTCAAAATCACCATTGAGCCCTGGATTGGAGCCAAAGTCACACCATGGGGAGGCAGAATAATTTCAAAGAGGACAAAGTAAAGGGGGGGAGGTTGATTGGCCTGGGAGAAATGGCATTGATTCTAAAGCAGCTGTCCGTCTGTACACTTCGGTTGCCAGGTTCCAGTGTGTATGTCAGGGGGCTAGGGTAGTACACTGGAGCAGTACTGTGAAGGAGATCTGGGGTCTCCACCCTCCTGACCTTTTGCTCAGGTCACCCTAGGAGCTGATTGGGCACAAAGAGGATCTGGGGCTAGTCTCTGGGGAACTCACTAGGGATTCCTGAGTTTGTGACTGTTAAGGACATTCTGGTAAGAGTGGATCAGGTAGAACTGAGACTGGGAGCTAGTGGGAAGAGGAAAGGATTTGAAAGTCCTCCATGACCAGGGTCAATGCAGGGAGCAGAAAAAAAACGAGTATGTGTGTAGGAAGGGGTTACTGGGACATTGTGTAGGGAATCTGATATGGGAAACATGGGTCTCTGATCCTGTGCTGGGTTCTCTCCTGTAGTGACGTGAAGCTGGAAGCCAACTGGGCCATAGGCACATTGGAGGTCCCTAACCCAGAAAAAGATTCTGCTCCAGATGTGAAGATGATCTCCAAAGTCCAGCCACAGGAGACCCAGGCCAACTCCAGGTCCGGATTAGGGCTTGAGGCTGAGAGCAAGCCTCCAAGGGCTGATCCAGGGCATGAAGCCCAGGCCAAGTTCTTGCCTGCGGAGCCCAGGACCAGATCATGATCTGAGGCAGAGGCTGACTGTTGGACTTCGTGGTAGCTACAGAATGGGAGTTTGAGAGGTACTGGCCATCTATCGATGGGTGGGGTGAGCAAGGGGGTGCGTCTCCTGGGGGCTTGAACTACCTCCTGAATGGCTACCACAGCTGGCCCCAGGATCTATCTCACCTGGAGGTGCAAGCCAAGGGAAATGAGGGTGTGATGAAAGGGGCGGGGCCGAGGGCGGGGCCTGGATGAAAAGAGATGAAGCCAAGTTTCAGGGTTTGGATCTTAGGCCAGCTTTTCCTCATCCCTCGTCCATTTACTGGGAAAATATAGCCAGTTTTGGGACCAAGGCCTAGGACATGCGGGTCTAGGGGCTAGGTCAGTGAGGGTACCTTGGGGGAAGAAGTCCATACAGCAAAGGAACCAAAGGGACCCGTGACAGTTTGAGGATCCCATTGAGACTTTCTGGGGACGGGAAAACAAAAAGAAAGGGGCAAACAAGAGAAAGTAGCCTACAGGTGGGAGCAGCTAGACTGGGACCAGGACCTGTGAATAGACGCAATCTGGCCCAAAGGATCTACCTGGAAGCTCAGGGCAGCACCAACAGAGTTGGGGCTGTAGAGCAGCGAAGGGGAAGCAGTATTCGCGCTAAGGGCTAAGGGGCGTGACAAGCTCTTGGGGATGGAGCGAAGAAAAGGGAGTGGCGAGCCGTCTGGGACATTTTGCAAGCGGAGCTGGAGCACACACTGGAGCCCCCGATTGTTCTGCCCCCTCAGGAATCAGAGACCTAAGTGGTCAGGAGAGTTCCCAGGGCCTCCCGGGTCTGGCCTGGTACTGGGACAGTGATAAGGGAACAATGAGTGTGAGAATCCTGTAGCGAGGGGCCTGGCGGAGACCGGAGTGGGGTACCCCCTGACGACCTTAGTCCGCAGACCCAGCTGGAGTCGGTGAACTTGATCGACGCTGGTGGAGGGGCTGCGCTTGGCGCCCTGGGAGCGCAGCAAGAGCGTGACCAGCTTCTGAGCGCTTCTGCTCACAGCTGGTCAAACGACAGCAGCGGAGGGTCAAGGTGGCACGACTCACTCGAAACTACCAGCTCGGGCCCAGGAGCTGAAGGAATACCGCTAATTACCAAGCAGGTGAGAAGGACTGAGGAGCACGGAGCGCGGGGACTCCGCTGCGTTTCCAGTCCACTCCCCACTCCCAGCCCCAAACCGTTAGTCCTTTCTTCCCGACTTCCTTTCGTGACCCGGCCTCCCCTACGTGGATCCTGACACCCTTCACGGGCCCAAACATCCCAATTCCAGCCCTTTCCCTCCCTCTCGGCCGCTCGCATTTTACTTATTGATTTGCTTTCCTTGGTTTCACTCCCCTCGGGTGTCCAAAGACCCACACCCCAGGTCTCAGGGCTACTCCATACAGACACCGCCTCGGGATCCAGGTATTCAGAGCCATTGCCTCTGGCCATCCCTGCTACCTGCCTGGACCCAGTCGGTCCTCCCAAAGGGCCCAGCTGGGAGCCAGTAGGCACGAGTGTGGAGTGAAGATGCAGAGAAGCCTGACTCTCCAGCGACCCCCGCCCGCCCCGCCTCCGCCACACGCTCACTCGTGACCCCACAGGGGATCCTTTTGCTTTGGTTCAACGCGTTGGCGCTGCTAGCGGGCCTGGGCGCCCGGCCGGCGATTCTGCAGGCCTCTGGCACCTTGTCGCCACTGCCACGGAGGCCGTGTCCGAGGCAGGCGGTGAAGTGGCACGTCTTCTGCTATCGCCTTCCGTGCAACGCGACCGACGTGCTTCGGGAGGGACTGGACCCGCAGCCCTACCATCCTCAAAGAAGCAACCTACGCCTTCTGGCGGCCTCGTGCGCCCTTGCGAGCTCACGCTGTGCACGAGCCCCTTCCCTACCCCGCAAGGCGGCGACCGCTGGTGGCGCTCCCTCAACATCTACTGCTTTGGCAGCGACGTTGCATTGCGCAGATGCAGAGCCAGCTGCTGGGGCACCTGCAGCGCCTGTCTCACCGGCCTCTACGTCTTGTGCCAACTCTTCCTGATGCCCCAGCTCTGGTCACAGCTGGCTTATTTCTGCCAGGCCTGGGGCTTGGACTGGTCCAGAGTTATATGGAACAATACCAGCTGGAGGCTGACATGTGAGGCTTCTCTTCCCAGAGAAAAGTGGAGAAGCACTCAGTGTTGCTTCATTCCTCAAATCCCCAGCCAGCCCGTGCCTACCATTTCCAAGCTCCGCTCCCCTCAGAAGTTGGCTCTGGCCCCCTACCTTAAGGCATATAGGTCCTCCCCTTTCCCTTTTCTCAACTGGGCCATCTCCTAGCTCCCCCCAATGCCCTTTCCCACTCCAGACTTGAACCTCTGAAGATGGGGGAGCCCCTTTGTTCTCTATTACCCATTCCCTTCTTTTCCAAGAATGATGGATCCCTTCAGAGCCCTGTCCATCTTCCCATGAATCCTGGCTTCTCCCTTCTGTACCCATCAGATGGAAGTGGCAGCATTGTGTGTGATGCCCAGGTCCCAGCAGGGGACACAGCCATGTTCTTTCTCTTCCTCTTCTGAAGCTTCAGAACTGGCCCAGGGTGCTCTTCCTCACTGGCACCTCTGTCTTCTAGATTAGTGTCCTTTTCCTGCTTCTGTCACCCCCATTTTCTTCCTCCCTGGACATTCCTGTCACTTAGCTCCTAAACACCATTTTTTCTGCTCCTCCCCCCTTTTTCTTCTGTTCCCTTCCCCATTACCAGAGAGAGAGGTTGTAAATAAAATATATTTATAATGATCCCCCACTTGGGATCCTGTTTACTTTTGGTGGTGTGCTTTCCTCAGCTTGCCACACTGGCTGGGTTTTGCTTCAAACTGGAATGATGTTGTTATTTCTCCAGGGTTCCTAAGGTCCCCAACTAACTAGAGGGTCCAGCCAGAAACCGGTGCAACCAAACCTGGCCTAGGGGCTGTCCCTCAACGTGGCATAGGGTTTTTCAGATTCCAACCAGTCTACCTTCTAGGAGAACTGGAACCCCCACCTCCCTGTACTTCTGCACACTGTTCCTCTGGATTATGTATGCTATTTAGACTCTGAGAGTCTTCTATATAAATGCAAGTATTAACCACTGCATTTGTACAGTGCTGTCTCCTATACTGGATCCCACACCAAAGTCAGAAGAAGGAAACAGGCTTAGAAGGATCCAAGTGACTTCTTTGAGGTCCCGTCAATAGCTGGACCTAGAACCAGGTGTGCCAAGGCCACAGCATGCCCAGAACCTCGCTCTGTGTGTTGGTATTAGCTCTGGACTTCTTGATGGACAGTGGACAGTTGCTAGGGAAGTGTGGATCCAGCTCGGGGTTTGCTGGGGATGGAATCCAAGATGTGGGCAGAGGAGGGCGCCAGTGGGTGGGAAAAGGTGGGCAAAGGGAACAGCTACTGTCACTATTCACAGCTCCAGCTCTGTGGCTACGCTGCTCTGCCTTGGCTGCCTCCTGCCCCTTCCTTGCCATTTCCACCATGGCCTTATGGCAATAAAATGGACCTTTTGCCCACCCCTTGTGTGTGTTTCTCTTCTTCTTAGTGGGGAGGGATGTAACATATTATCTTCCCCCCTTCCCCAGCAGCCTGTATTAGAGAGGATCTCTAAGCCCCGTGGCAATGGGGCTAATGACTTCCTGGTGTGTGGGGGGGAGCTGGGGAGGGCTGCTGGCCATTGTGCGCCCCCACCTCCACCAAGCGGAGGAAAGAAGCGGTTACTCAGAACCCAGGCGGGCTGCGACGCGGCGCCCGGACTAAGCCTGGGCTTCGCTTTCCCCTAGACCTGGAAGTCGGCTGCTACCCAAATTCTGTGGGATCGTCTCCCAAGTTCATCTTGGCATCCAGGAACGGCCTCTCTAAACACCAGGATCCAAGCGCCTAACTCCCATCCCTCGACTCGTTTTCCAGCCACGCTCGCTTTCCCCATTTCTGGGTGGGCAACGCGTGGTTGGGGGAGGAGGTGGAAGGAGCCTGGGTACCGCCCCCACTCCCCCGGGAGCGGAGCTCCAGAGCGGCGGAGACTGCGATCCCGAAAAGTAACACACGGGGGCGCCAGGACAAGTGCGGACGCGGGCGAGGCATCGCAAGGTGGTTTCCGTCCGTGTGAGTGTGTCCATGGGCGTCTTTGTGTGTCTGTGTTTCTGTACCTATGTATACAAGCCAGGGGGTGTCTGGGTGGATGCATTCGGGACAACATACCTGGTGTACTCCCAGAAACAGGTACCCCAGGTGGCTTCTTGATGTAGACAATGCTTGATATGTTACTATGTACGTGTAGACGGGGAGGCAGGCGACTTGTGTATATTGTCGCATGTGTACGGTGCAGACTGTAAGTCCCTGAAAATGCGTCTTCGATTTTTGAAGTCACATTTCTTGAGGGTTTTGATCCCCTTCCTGCCACTCTGTAAGAGGAATGAGGGCTCTCAATTGCTCTGGACAAACCCTCAGCATTAAGTCTGAGTGACTGTGCTAAGCTAGGTGTGATATTGTGTTTGTTAAGTGGGTGTGTCTCAGAATTTTAGTGTAACTCTATATGACAGTGTGTTGTGTGTGTGACAGGTGGATCATGATTATGGAGGGGGCTGGATCATGATTATGGACGTGCACAATTTCTTTTCTCTTGTTAGTTTGTGGATGCCACCTTCGTGATGTTTGTGTGTGTGTGTGTGTGTGTGTGTGTGTGTGTGTGTCCTTTTCTCATTCTCTCCAGGAGTTGTCTCTCTTTGTGTCTCTCCCCATCTCTGTCTCTTTCTCTTTTTCCTTTTCTTGGTGACTCATCTCTGCGGCGTTGCCTCCCCCGGTTTGCAGGGTCTCCCCTCCCCCATTCAGAAGTGGGTGGGGGTCTGAAGCAATGAGACCCTGGGATTAAAAATCAGGGTGAGCATCCCCTTCCCATTGCTCATCACTCCAGACCCTCCAGTGGCCCCCAGCCCTCTCCCCAGCCCCTTCCCTGGACTTCCCACCCCTGGAGTGACTAGGGAGTAGGGCAATAATGTATGTATTCTAAATGGGGCCATTATCAGGGGGTCTTCAGCATCTCCTTTCACTTCAAAGTGGAGACCCTTGCCCTCTCATAAATGCCCCCTCTCTGCCTGTCCCCCCATATGGCTGACGCAATGAAAGGCTGCAGAGGTGAGTCACCGGTTGGGGGAGGGGGAGGGGAAGAAGGGGATGATGAACTGCGGGGGCCTTGAGCCCCTGCCCTTTCTTTCTCTCCTAGATTTTTCAGGGAAAAGACTCAATGCTCTGCCCCAACCCCCTGGTTTTCCAAACCTTCAGCTTTGGATCACTACTTTGCTGAACTCCATCTTCTTCTTCTAACCTCCTGGGGAGTATGGCAGAATCAGAAACAAAGATAAAGAGAGATGGATTCATGCAAACCACTCAGAGCAAACACCAGGCATCCCCATCTCAGCTCTGCCTTTTCTAGCTTCCTCTCCATTTCTCTTTCTTTCCTGCCATCTTCCTCCTCTCCCTGATCCCAGGATCCTGTCCCTAATCCATATCTCTTCCAGAAGCTCCTAGAGGGAGCTCATTCCAGGGAGGTGAAGATGTGTGAATGAGCTGACCCAGGTAGGAAACCTGGGGGTGAGAGGCAGATCCACAGTCCAGAGACCACACCGTCAAGATTCAGATAATGGAATCACCAAGCCTATTGCCTTTGGTGCCCTGAGTTTCCACCTTGTCTCCTCCACACCTTACCCCATGACGGCTGAGGCTCTGGGATATTGATGTCTGAGAGGGTTCCCTGGGAGTAAGTGGAGGCATAGAGGGGTGTGGGGTTAGGTGAAATGAAGGAGTGGGGAATGCTCTGAAAACCAGGGACAAGGACCCACAACTTGGGGACAGCAGATAAGTAACTTGGATTCTGAAGCTTTATGGCATAGAGATCTAGAAACAAATAGGGGGAGGGGCAAGAAAGAACAAGGCACATGGAAGCCCACATAATCACCAGCATGGAAGAACCCAGATAAATGCACAAAGACACACATACATATATACCCATTCTGGGGCACCACCAAGCCAGGCATACCTTTCAGACACCAACAGGCAACCCAGAATTGGGTGCAAAGACTCAAAGTTGCCCAGGTGGACAGGCATCCCAAAGAAATCAGAACCTACGCAGATAGCTGGAAAAGGGCAGAAACAGTCACATGCCTTGGAAGAGAAGAACCCCTATTTAAATGGAAAACAGTGCCATGACCATCCACTCTCAATCTGATGCAACACACAATTTGTTCCCCTCATGCCCTTTCTTTTTCTTCCCCACTATGGGTCTTTCTAATTTCTGTACACATATACAGAAAGAAGCTGAGAGGCATATCAGGAGCCTTTACACACATGTACACACACACACACACACACACAGGTACCATGTACACACATGTACAAACCAAGGGTTTACAGAATGTGTCTAGGTGCCTGTCTCCCCTCTTCTTGCATTTAAATTCTTATTCCCGTCAATCAACCCCCTTGGCTCCCCCCTGCAGATGTCTGACACATCTCTCTGATTCATTCAAGGTGACGTGACCCCCTCCCCATCCCACTACTGCCTGTAATGCAACAGTCTGAAAAGATGAAGGCAAGGGATTTGAGGGGAATCCAGAGGGGCAGGGGAGGCCCTGGAGAGTTGTGGGAGGGGGTATGTGAAGCACTGCCAAGAGGGTCTTTTGATCCCTTTTCTTTCCTTCCTTTGGGTTCTCCAGCCACCTTGGTTCTCAATAGTTTTTTTTTTTTTCCTCTTCTCCTTCAGCCTGCTTCTTCCACCTGCTCCAGGTTCCTTCCTTCTTTTCCTCTCCCTGCCCCCATCTCTTTTCTCTCTCCACTCCTCCCCATCTCTTTCCCCGCAGAGCTGATGGGCTCTCTTCTGGGAAAGTCGAGCCACTGATGGAAGCGGAGAAGCCTCTGCTGGCTATAGAGGGAAAGCACGTGAGTGTGCAAGTGTGCGAATGTGTGTGTTGGGGGGGACATAGAATGAAGGTCAGTACTAGGAACAGATGAGGAGGGGGGCTCGGACTGGCTCGAAAGAGGCTGTGAGCCCCCACAAACAACCCCATCCTGGTTTCCAGAGTCTTGGGATGCCTTGCGTGTGCCCACGAACACCCCTGTGTCCGCAGTTCTTGTGTATCTGGTGTGTGTCATTGTCACTCCCCCCTTTCCCTGCCCACGCCCCCGCACTGCTCTCTGCCTGCACCGCAGCCCCCTCCAGTCTCCCTCCCTCTCCTTCATTCCTGCAGTGGCTGCTCCCCTGGCCACCTTCCCTCTCCCCAATCCCCTCCCCATTTCCGTCCTCCCCCCACCCCCGCCCACGCCTGGTCTCCCTTCACCGGACCCAGCTCGCTGATGGATTCTCTCTGCGCAATCCGTGCGTCATCGCCCCCCACTCCCGGAACCTCTAACTATCCAAGCCCCCAGCCCCAACCCCTCTGGCAGGAGATACGGTCCAAGGGTCTGGTGGCAGAGAGGGTCTAACTCTGACGTCGCAGCGCCCCCCACCATTGCTTTCAAACCTTCCCTTTAAGTGGTGGAGAGAGAAGGAGTTGAGTCACCCCCCTACCTGCGCAACCCCCTCCCCACCTGGTCTGGTCTCGCCCTCCAAACGTCCTTGGGTAGGGGGAGCCGCGGGAGGGAAAGAAGCTGGAGGAGGGTGGGAAGTGGACTGAGAAGAGGCA